AATACAAACTCAAAGAAAACACTGATCCCAGTTGGTATTAGAAAGTCAACTTTCCTATAACACTTATCGAACTCACTAGATGCCTCAACAAAGCTAGCAACAAAACTATTTGGGTTCATCACAAATATCCTACATAGCATACAAACATATGAGCAAGGATTTCCTAGAACTCATCACAATTTTCTTTAACAAACTTGTCAACAAAGAAATGAAAAAAATGTACAATATATTCCATCCCTAAGCCAAAGGAATGGCACAATGATATTAATATCATGTATCCTATAACTCTTCTAGAATAAATCAAGAAGTTGTTTATAAAGATTTTTACAAACAGGTTGGCAAAGTTCTCACAAATAATCCCATCCTATCCTCACACAACTGGGCTGCACTATCTGAACATAGTATCAAAGAACCCATCACAATAATAAACCAAGTCCTAGAGAATACAAGAAATATATGCAAGCCTTGTTTTATGCTTTTCTAGGATATAAGCAAAGCTTACAATACAATTTAATATAGAAAGATTAGTAATCTCAATGCACCAAATCAGAATTCTATCCCAAACAATCAACTTAATCAAAAATTGTTTCTACAATTGACAAAACACTGTTATTGTATACTTTGGCAATACAGATCCATTTTAGTTAAAGAAGGCTTCAACTAAGATAATGCAATGTCTTCTCTACTATAATATATATACTATGACTCATTATTAGCAATATGAAAGAATATCAGCTACAATAACACAAGCCTATATAAAGCAATTTTATCCTTCCAGACATAAACATATTAATCATGTATATATAAATGACAATACTTTTATTATCCAGGACAAAAAGGATCTTCTAGATATTATCAACATTAGTACCTCCTTTTATAATCTGAATGATATTACAGTCAATTCACTCAAATCAAAATTGTTAATACTCAATATACCCCAATACAATATTCACATCAACAATTCTGAAATAATACTAGCAGACTCAATAATAGCTATCAGAGTTTTAGGCATATGGCATAAAACTAAAGCTGGCAAGTTGCATCAATAAAATCTGATTATGTTCAAGACAATCTGTTTATATAATACACTCACCAGAAAACAAATCGCAGACAAAATGCATTGATATATTATAAATCATGTAATTTTTTCCACTATAGAATATTTCCTTTAAGATCTAGTTCTCTTACAAGGAGATTGTGCTAAGATTGACAAAAAAAAATCAGATATAGCTTTAGACAACAGGTCAGTTTGATCCACTCAGTACTCAATACAATAATTCATCTCAACAATTAATATAGCATTATAAAAATACAAACAAGACAGCTATAAAAATATGTTAGTGATATACAATAATTGTTTTTTAACTCAAATATAGTTAGCAACATTATGCATAGCAGTACTCACAAACTTCAATGGCTTGCATGACAAAAAAAGAATATCTTATACACCTGCCCATATATCTTTAAAAACAAGGCCAATTTTCTACAAGACTGCTTACAAGACATTTAGAAACACAATATGAACATTAACAGATTTACTATGAAGAGCAACGATCCTCAGAACCTATATTCTATAGAAGATTTCAACAAACAAGATTGGCATGCAAAATATAGGATAGCCTTTAGAATCCACTAGCTTTTTTTGATCAAACAATAAATCAGCTTATATATGACTAAACTACTAGTATGGCAGAAGGTTAGGGTATTACACAATAAAATAAGAAAAAAGAGTCAACATGGTTTCTATACCTTTAACAACAGATATCGTTCACTCTACAAAGCACCTTCACTGCCTCATCTCTAAATTCACTAATCCAAATTGAATTAAACAATTCAAAATAAATACAACACTCCTGATATATTATGTAGTTTAGATATCAACAAATTCTGGGCAAACACATCAGTAAAAAATATGACACAATCAAAGTTAGGCACTATATCATGGCAAATAACTCTCTAATAAATACCTGTCCTAATTGTGACATTTCCAACATTATAGATAACAGAGATAAAATCTGCTGTATAGAAATACTGAAAGCCAATGACTTTAGAGTCCCTATAATTAATATTATAAAATTACATAGTTTACTAGACCCATCCTAAAAAAAGAATACAAACATCACATTACATTACAGTATTAGATGATTTTTTACAGAGCCCAATCAAGTTTTTGATAGACTAGAAATTGACAATATTTCATACTAATAATGGGTTCCTAAAGTATTTAGCATATAAAATTCTGCAGATCATTTATATCCCTTTTTGAAGGACAAAATTCATAGCTCTTCATTTTAATAGGAACAAAAGTCAGAAAATATTATAAATCAATAATTTAGATAATGAAAAACAATTATAGGTAGTTTTTTTATAGTTATCAATTTAAAAATTTTAATGTTTTCTAGTAAAGGACATTTGATTTCTGTCACTGTTTTCCTTTTAGAAATCTATTTTTACTTCACACACATTACAAGATCTCTTTCAAATCATTAAACTATGTCCTTTAACCAAATAAGAACTCATCAAAGTATATTGCAAAGTCAAAGATATCAATAGCCTCTACACTTATATAAATAGAGCTTATAATCTCAAAAACAGTCCTAATACATGTGGAATAGGTATTATATCAGCAATAACCAAACAAGTATAGTTACAATAGGATTATAACTGAAAGGACAATTATTATTATATAGAGCTGAGATTCTAGTACAACATAGCATTAACTATAAGTAGACTGAAAAGATCTCTTATAATTGAAACTAACTCACTATCCCTCATAGGAGAATACAACATATACACTGAAAACAATATAAAAAAAATTAAGGAACTAAGGCTCATCAGCATTTTCAGCATAATAGCAGCATGTCACTGGACTCCTATAATCTGGTTTAAAATAGATAAACAGAATTATTCTATTATTTATCCATTCCTCAAAGCTAATAGATTGGTGAAATACCACAATAACAATAATGTGATCAGTCCTCAAGGCCAGTTAACAGATATTACCTTCAGTGATAGGATTCTTATCTTCCATTACAAAAATCAAACAGAAATTACCACAACCATCCAAAAGGCTTTCAAGTATATAAGGCAAATATAGTTAATATACTAATAGATCACACTAGATGGAAATAAAGATCTTTTTAAACAACAGACAGAAGACATAAACTGGAAGGAAATAAATCAGAGACTCTACCTGTTAGCTATCAATCTCAATAAAACAGACTTATGGAATTACTTATAAAGAAGCTTTGCACATAAACTATGGAACAAAAAGCTCTTTACAATGAATAAGCTCCATACCATAAGACCAGACATATATAAATCTGATATATTCTTTGCGTATTCAAATATAAAAGACAATACTCACTCTTTCAGATATCTATTTTACAATATTGATATTGAACAAGTCACATTAAACATTATATATCAAGAGATACAGTAAGAATTGATAATAACATCAACCATGACATTAGACAGGAACTCATATCAGATATAGTAGCAAATAATATGTAAAACAAAATCATTATGGGAGGTATTAGCAAAACCATTCTAAAGATTATTAGTAGATATATCAAAATCAACAAAATAACAGAAACTATCAATAGCATTCGCAATATCATCAGATTCTAGATGTACAACATCTGATTGACAGATGTGAGCATCTATAACACTGGGAGAAACTATAAGAATATCAATCAGAAAAAAAGGAAAGTATTATAAATCATATCCGAATAAACCAGAACATAGAGATTTTGTATCCAACAAAATGGAAATATACCTTTCAAAACTTATACTTAATATTCTTAATGCAACCCACAACATCCTCAAAATTTACAAGGAACATGCTAACAGTACCTAGGCATGTTAGTCCCTAACAAGGACAACATGTTACAAAGGTTTCAAAGGTGAAGTCCTGCCACCAATAGCAATGGATATCCATCAGCCCAGGTAACAATTGGTTTTATTTGTAACCATATACATTTGACACATGGAAAAAATGTTTGTAATATAACCTTTACTTGACAAAGTAACATGTATTTGTATATAAACCCAATAAAATGAACAATGTTTATATATTTAAAAAAAAAAAAAATATCATATTTTATAAAAAAATTTAGTTGTTTGAAAATGTCAAATATAAAATCAGTTGAGTTTAATAAAAATTTTTAAATATTGCTCTCTTTAATGTGTGTTTAAATTAAGTTCTAATTTGAGACATATTTTTTAAATGCGTTTTTGATCTTTAACAGGATATAAATTCTTAAAAAATGATTTACTAAATATATTTCTATTAGTGTTAACCAATCGGACTGGATCAATCTACAACATTATTTAATTAATTGATCGGGTATAATTAATTTTATATTATTCTGTTTGCTGTAAATTGTTATTATCAAAACTTGGGTTATTTTTTTTTGTCGGAAATATATATGCCTAAGTTGTTACAAATAATGCATGATCGATGAAGAAACGGTGTAAATCGACTTGAGGCTTTTATTATTTGGTTAGCGGTTTTCTGGCACTAAAATTGTGATCCTAAAATTTACATTACGTATGTGTGTATTGTTTAAAAGTAGAGTCTAAAAAAATCATATCTAGCATTTTTGCTGTTTCAAAAATAATTACCCATTTATTAAATAAGACGTATTTTTACTTAAAAGTTTGATGTTAAGGATTCTAATAATCGCGATTTTCCTGATTATGTTACCTTATTACAGTAAAATAACGAATATACAATTTATTATATGTTTACATATCGGATATTACAGTATATAATAAAAAATTATAAAATTTAACCAAAGAAGTAATCATATTAATACGTAACTATTGTATTAATTGAATTGGTTTTTTTATTCTCCGGAAAATCATCGATTTTTAACAATCTACAATATAAACAAAATACTGCGCCAAATGACGATTAAAAAAAGAATTCATAATGATATCACTAGTAATACCTTAAACGAGTTATACTTGGTGGGAAAGGTCGGGCACGAGATCATTCAATGAAGGCTAAAAATTTCGTATTCATCCACCGAGAATGATTCTTTTGTATCCCTAATGGCCTTTTCATATGCCGAATAACTATTGTGAATACAAAAACACTTCTTGTCTTTCTTGAAATTTCCGATCATATTTAAATCCGAGCTTCCAAAACTCGGACCATAACCACTTGGCGCTCCGTTATATATCGCGCTAGAAACATGTTTCACGCGGCTAACTATGGAATCCTGTATCGCGTCATCTTTCAACGCAAAAATAAAGCTCATTCGTGTAATCGTGAATCCGCTATTACGTGAAAATCTACTCTGAGATTCTCTCTTATTCCATCCAATAGGGTTGTATCCTCCAATAATTTCGTCCGTACCGTGAATTTTAATGATTACCACAATATTCTCAAGCATGTCGCATTTTTTCCAGAAAGCTTTGTGATCAAAGCCATGGTTGCTACCCCGGAGAACCAGCTGGAAGTTGTAAGGATTTGTTGATTCTGTGTACGGTAAATCTGGGTTGTCTATCCAAGTGGAAATCAGGGCTGCCTGTTTTTCTGTTATTATTCTTGAGAATGAAGAAGGGCTTAAAAAAAATTGACTTAGTGAATATGATGAACCCGTTGAGTCTGATGTCGAAGTCGAAGTCGATAGAGTAGAAAATGACCGTGATAGATCAGGTTTACTGGATGCACTAGATTCTCTAGAAATACTATGTCTTAAAACAGATGGTTTTCGAGGAGGCAACACATTCGTGGATATCGGTTTGTTAGGAGTAATAAAGTATCTGGTGACATCATTCCATACTTTGGGATCAATTATTTTGTGGTATGGCTGGACTTTATCAACAATTTCTTCGTTACTAAGTTGAAAATATCGAATGTAAGGTAGGAACTTCCCAAGAGTCGCTTTAAACTTTTGAACCTGGTTGTCCGTCCAGTTTTCTGGATCCTTCGGTAACTCTGGATTCCGAACCATTCCCCATTCAACGAGACGCTCCCAGATTTTTACTTCTGGGAATTGTAAATTGTCTTGCTCGATTAATGACACCAAGACATCTTCATTGGTAGAGGCAAAATCGCTAGAATCGAACACGATACCAGGATTCTCGATGATAATATTGTTGCAATAATTTTTAAGTTCTTTATAATTTGTTGAACGAACGATCTTTTGATATACATAAATTAAATTGTCTCTTAACCAAATCGAATGATTATTAATAAGATATGATTCGATGTGTGGCATTAATTCTTCATATTCGAATTCCTCGACTAACAACGCAAGGTTAAATACGACCAAAGCATTTCCATCCTCTAAGGAAAGAACTCCACAATAAATATAACTATTTCGCGATTGTTGGATATTTTATTAATGCTCTTTTCTCTTTTCTTAATAAAAGCATGAAACGCTTAAAAAGACAAGCATACCTAACTAGGAGGTTAAAAACCTCAACGGAGAGATCAGGCTTTCTTATTATTTTAACGGCATTCTCTGATGCTATACCTTTCAGCTCATTATATAAATAAGGACATCTGTAGCATAACACGGAAGAATGAGTTTTATAAGATTTACTCTGAGGGAACATTCCAACTTCTATGATTGTATTGTATTCATCGCCGAATTCGAGAAGTTTGGTGAAGTCTTTTGACAGAGTTTCATAAAATTTCATAGACATTTTATTTTATCTTGAAAAGGATCTCAGGGGCGATTCTTGTCGTCTTTATACCGCAAAAACGAATTTTCTGCGTGCACTGTCCTATTGTCTTTCCAAAATTAACCTTGTACCACCCATATACATGTCGTATTACTCGGAAATGAGACTCCGTATTACGAAAAGAATTTGAAATTCTATACGTATTTCTTGATTTCTGGCAAAATTAAAACCAATAAAAAGTGAAACATAAAAAACGTGGAGAAAGAAAAGAAGCAATCATCTTTACAGGTGGAGACACATAATGGAAGATGCGGTACGCAAAAATTATATGGATTAAATCACTAGTTGTCACTTTTGTTTCATGTTGAACGGAACCTTTAATTGTAAATTGTATATTACAATTACGCTATAAGTGATTGATTTTTTTTTTTTTTTTTTTTTTTTTTTAGAGGGCAGATAGGAAGTTTTCGAAGCGTAAAATCGGGACTTCAAGTGAAGCTATGAAAAATGATCGAACGTCATGCATATAAAGTCATAGTTGAGTCATGGACATACAGTAGATACCACATGACTGTATATATTGTACACGAAAATCCAGTAATTTTTTTCTAATCTATTACCAATATTGTGGAAAAGGAATATTACAATTATTTCATTTAAGCTAAAATATATTTAATAAAGTAAAACGGCCTATTCATTTAATGCACCGCATAATGTTGAAACAAGCATGCGAGATTTGATTGAGCATATCATCTTTATCACTACCTATAATCTCAATGGTTAAAGTAAGGTGACGATATCTTTGTAAATCATTTATTGATAATAGGCCAACACCTCAACTACTATAGTTACACAATGTTTAAAAAATATTTTAATATACTGTATACTAAAAAAATTAATGAATATATACTGTACTTGTGTAATAGTTTAATTCAACAAATATTGAAAACTTTAAATAAATATAAATATATATATATATATATATATATATATTTTTTTTTTTTTTTTTTTTTTTTTTTTGCAATACCCATAATCAGATCAATTAGTAATTAAAAGAATACTTACTATAAATATATATATATACTATATACAGTATATACAGTTGCTTCCAAAAGTTTGAGTCCACTTACTATGTTTTTATTATAAATTTCAACTTTGACAATTTTTA